ACAGAGCTCAGAAAGCTTGAACAATGGAGGAGATAGGAAGCTAGAGAGAAAGAACTTCAGAAACAATCAAAAGTGAAAAGACAGGGGAAAGAAAGAAGTTTTTGATAAAACAGAAACGGCAGCAAAAGGGTCATAAATGTGCCTAGAAGAACATATGCGCCAGACGGCGCACGTGAGAATGATTCGATTTACAGGCGCGTATCAAGTACGATCCAGTAAGAAAAAGACGCGTGGCTAAAAACGGTTGAGTTGTTATGCATGACAGCTCATGCGCGTGAAGAAGTTCTTGCAGATCTTGATCTTTAAGAAGACATGTCGACTTATAATGATGAGCTCGGCTTAAGCCGATGTACTAGCAGGAAGTACCGATATAGGTTGCATCACCTCAGAATGCCGAAGTAATAGAACCTAGGGGTATAGAACCTAGGGAGCAGTTGTGGGGATATATTTTCTGAGTCCCAACACGTGGCCAAGGTGACGAAGACGTGTCAGCCGAGGTGCCACGTGCCCAGGTTATGACGCCGAGGTTATCTCGGTAAGGCCAAGGTTATCTCCGAAGATATCAGAATCCGAGATAAGCGGATAAGGGACAAGAGTCCTAAAATGAGGAAGGACTTCAGCCTGGATAAGGATAACACTCTTAGGGAGTTTATCTTTATCTCTTGGAGAGTCCAGGATAAGCATTGAGCAAAAGTCCATTGAAGTTAGGCTTCTAGTGGGACAAGGATTGAGCTAACTATAAAAGAGAGGCACCTCCGATGGGTCTAAGGTACGCAATCTATATTCTGAATAGTGAGATTAGTGCTATTGATTATCTTTGAGAGATAAACTGACTTGATCGTCGGAGTGTCCCCGGGTGGAAGAACCACTGCCAGAATCTTCTCTTTTTGTTGCAGGTCTGCTAGGCGTCATCTATTCTGCCAGTTCTCTCCAGCTTATCACTGAGTTGGCAGTGTGATTGGAAAATCACTCACACAGGTAATATATTTTGTATATAAGAATAGCATTATCACATTTTCTCTTCTTCTTTTTTCATCTTGTCGCACTCAGATGCCTCTCCAGCTCACAGAAAATCATGCAATGGAATGGAATACATCTATTGATCCTCCATAGTCATTCTATTTTGAGATATTTAGACATCAAATATTGCATAAACTTTGACAACATGAGTATGCGTACATGTGAAGACATCCAAGAATGCATTTGAGGAAAACAACTTATTAAGCTCCAAAATAGTGTGAACAAAATTAAAATGAAAAATTACCAAAAACAAACCATAGAAGTATCAAGAAACAAATCTAAATGCTTTATGTAAATTCTACATGCTTTAATCATTTGAAATAACTTGTAGAATTAAGAAACTTGCAGCAATCAAGCCCAACATCTTCCCCACCCCCTGCAAATGTAGCACATTTTAGAGAGACAGAGAGAAAGAGAGGGGGTGCATAAACAAAGGCAACTTACTTAGACAAAAATTGTGGTGTCCATGATTAGTAGTGGTGGAGGTGATGTGATGGACACTATGAACTTGCCTCAAGTTCATCAAGAAAATCTGAAAATGGTGATGACACAATTCCTTCTTTTTTTTACTCATATAAATGCGCAAGTAAAGAAGAACAAAATTTAGGAGAAACAAAATAATAATTGAAAATTAACAATCGACAAACAAACACTACAACAAGTTGGGTCTTGGATGACGAATTTTTTTTTGTCTCCAAAGAGCTAATTTCGTCACTATAGATATTTGTGAGGAAATATTTTTGTCACCGGGTTCATCATTGAATGTTTAATTTCATCACAGTAAGCCGTAAAGTTGACGAAATTTTTCGTCTCCAAACATCATACATGGGTGACAAAATATATTTCATGGCAAAAATATATATATGTGACGAAATTTTTAGTCACCAAACAACAAAATTAATGAAAACTTTCATATATAACTTGCAATAAATTTTGTCACAAAAAATATTTATTAGCGACAAATAATCACTTTGTCATAATAATAAGTACAGATGACGAAAAAAATTCGTCACTAAACTTTTCCCATATTTTATATTTCAATTTAAATTATTATTTCACAAATATCCCTGCTCATATCCCAATAGCCTTTTAAATGTAGTAAGAAATCCATTAGCTACTATACATCACTCCACAAAAAAAATTCACTAAAAAATTTATATTATAAATCAAAATATATCTATCAAACAAATTTAATAATAATCCATTAAGTATAACAAAAATAAACCATCAAAGCAAATTCCAAAATAAACTAACATGGAGACCACAAAAAAAAAATAAAAATAACACTCAATCTTGATTTGCAACTAAAACTAAGTATCAGTTCAGAAAAAAAAAAAAAAAAAAAAATTCAACACTTGATCTTCATTTGCAAGAATGCTTCCAGATGTCATCAAAAACCAATCTGCAAAGAAAATAATGGAAAAAAAAAAAACATTAATATATTATTAATTACATCTAAATTGATATTTAAATAATTTTATTTTATAAACCAATTTAGTAGAGATGCATATAACAATCCAAAACTTCAAAAAGTTGAAGTGATTCTTGATGATAACCAACACGGATAACAGAAGATGACAAAAGATTGCAAGAATACCATGTATCACTAGTACTAATGCCAACAAGAACCAGAGAGAATCACAGGACATGTTTGACACAAACTAATCAACCCACGGTTTTTATAGGAGTTAACATTTTCATCGAAATCTAAATATGTTTTTGTTTTATTTTTAACCTCAACGAGGTAAAAAGGTCAAAACACACACATTCGAGCAAACATAAAAACAAAAACAAACACACATGAATAGATATTGAAATAAAAACACAACTAGACCTCCAAACAGTTTGGATTAATTACATTTTATATGGTTTTGTCCAAAAGCACTTTACTTCCTTCATGTTTAAAAATATGCACATTAACCCTCTTGAAATTTGGAGTGAAGTGCACACGTTGCAAATTATGGTTAAGTTAACCGTGCATGTACAACACACTAAATTGAGCGTGTGAATCTAAGAAATATATATAATGACACTTTTGCCCCTTTTTAATTTGCCTTTTTCTATTCTTTTCTTCTTCATTCCCTAACCCTCCTCCTTCTTTCTACAGCAGGAGACCCACTCTCCCTTTCCCTTCTTCTCACTTCCTCCTACACCTCATATGCCACCACCAACCAATAGCCTCATGGGCCAACATGGCTATCAACCACCTCTAAAAAAAAACCTAACAGCCACTTCCCCAGACACCCAGGTTGGGTGACTTAGCAACCTCATAGACACAGTCCACCATGACACTACTGTGCATGGCCAAACCCAACCCCAACACCTAGTGGACAAGCGCCTTTCATCCGTCACATCTTTCTCTCCTTCGCGGGGAAGTAAAATTTAAAACTCATCTCCCTCGAACAGTCTAAAAACATAAAGTTCTAAACACAAGTTCTAAAGGCAACGAATCACCTTTAAGTTCTGAACTTTGGAAACTCTCAAACAAAAAAAAAAACAATGAAAATGAAAATGAAAATGGGGTAGAAAATTTAGGGGAAAATGCTATATAGTTGAGTATGAGACTGAGGAGAGACGTTGTCATTTTTTAAGGCAGCTAAGCTCAGAACAATTACGATGTTATTAATGAAATTATTAAACCAATGATGTGTATTGATCCATCACTATAGCCAAACTTTATGTTAGGAACAAAAGCAATTACTAACAATTAACAATAGACTACTTAAATTAGTACTAAGAAGAAAATCACTGTAAATAAACTAATCCCTCACGGCAAGAGGAGCTGTATAGGTGTCATATGAGAGGAGGGAGAGGAATAATATAGGACAGACCATGGGACAAGAAAGGAAAGAACGGGAAGAAAAACAAAAGAAAAGAGTCCCATCTAACACTCTATTGTTGACCTTGAACTATGTTTTTTGAAGAATTAAACAAAAATCAAGTTGGATTTTCTTCAGTGAGTCTACAAGTCAACAGTTAACATTCAACATATTCTATTAGTTAGCAATATCATATCATACACAAAACAACTAGCAGAAAAACACTAATGGGATATCTTTTCTCAAAAGAATCTTTTGGTGCTCAATCACAATCGAAGTCCTTAACATTGGCTAGGATTTCCATTTTAGCTTTTAACAATTGGCCATTATAGCTATCAAATCTAAGATATGTCCTTCCAACAGCTAAAATGCAGAGGGTTGGAGTCAATGAATATGACAGGCTGATAATAATAATAATAATAATAATAATAATAATAATAATAATAATAATAGAATGCACTACACTGCACTGCAGCATCAAGTACAAGTGTACTCAATATTTTCTTCAATGATACCAAGATAATAAGAGAGGTTGTGCAAGAGTCGAGTAACTATTTTATGAAAATTGTTTCATGATCACAAAAACAGTGGGAAAAAATGAAGACAGCAATATGAAAAACATGTGGCACAAGTTTTATGAAGACTTGAAAATCAGGATGATTTATGAATCTGGAAGTTTATGAACAGCTGGTAATGCCAAACACCTTGCAAGCAATGCTATGCATAAACAAATTTGGATTCAATATAAAGTGATCATTATCTGGTTACAAAAAATAAAATAAAAATAAATTAATTAATTAAAAAATAAATAAAAGAATAGGAAGAAGAAGAAGAAGAAGACATCACACAATTTCATTCTTCTACATAATTCTGTTCACCTAAGCACTGTATCATTGTAATTGGGTTCTAAATCTTCACTACATGAAAAAGCAAAATTGTACTGCTTAAAATTTGAAAAGCACTTGAAAATGGAAATAAATTTTGTTTTTCCAGCATTGTTAATCATTTCCTTGTAAAAAAGCATGATGTGACAACAGCAAATTTAAGTATAAAAGTTTCCATGAAGATATTTAACTTTAAAATCATTGTTTTAGGAATCCCAAGTGAAATAAGATATTCAAGAAATTACAAGATTTGAAAACACAAGATTCAAAACTCCATGACAAATCCTATACATTTAAATAATGAGACAAAATCACAAACTTTTAGTAATTTAACATCCAATAGAACAATAATGATTTTAAGTGATGGGCTCACTTCTTGAGCTCTGATAGATAAATACTGTAATGTAACATATGGTATCAGTGAAATACATTATATAGTCATTATTCTGAATCAATAAGTTGTACATCAAGAGACTAACCTTTGGATTAAGGGCCTTCAATTGATCTTCAAACAATTGACGGTAGCAACGAAAACTTCAATCTATACAAACTACATTATAGATAGTTCCATGTAATTCAAGTGGGTTGCTACCAGCAGAATGGTGTAGCCTGTACAAGATGTTGATGAATTAGGTCCATCAGTTTTGCTCAGGGTACTACAGAGCCTTGAAATTCAATATGAAGAAATTCAACATATTCTGTCAGATAACTAACTCTTTGTAAAGATTCTCTATCTAATACTTGTTATGAGTTACCATTTGATAGTTTTGGGTGGATTGGTTGCACAATGTCAATTCCATCCATTGAGCTGCCCCGTTGGATTTGGCAGGCCCATTTCTCTGGTAAGGCATGTTTGTTGGGTTCTTTGAAGAGGGAGATTTGATTAATAATCTGTGAGACCTACTTATAAGTGTTTGGTTGGGAATATGAGTGAGGGGATTAACTATTCTCTTCGACTAGTAATCACCCTATTTGTAGGACTATCAATCCCATGGTACATTATTTAACGATTATGTCATCTACAATGTCTGACTATGAACTTTTAGTCCTTATATTCAATAAAGTAAAATAAAAATATTTAAAAATTTCAGCATATTGAATTATGCTAATACTCATTAGTTCAACCCTTTCCTCCTACTGGAAAAGGCCTCATATTACATAATACTCTCGAGGAAAGGAAAAGAAAGGAAACCGCAACGAAAAATGCAGGCATGCTAAAAGGAAAATCACAAAATGCTACTTCCTCTAGCGGCCATCTCATGTAGTAGAAGCCTGATTGATGATTTCAGTGATATTAGAGTTGGATTACCAGTCTCACATAAAAGGCATAGGAATGTTGTCGTTGTTACCATTGTATTGAATTTGTTTTTGGACCGCCTTTACCACCGCTACTCTAGCTGCATTTGCTGCCCTGTTAGCCGCTACCACTGCTCTGTTCACTCTTTCGTCCACTTTCGCCATGTCATACACTTTCTCTGATGCTCGTCTAGCTTTCTGATAGTGAAATAGATTGTATTAGAAAAACCTGTCAACTATCTCTTCTTGATTATTTATTTATTTACTTTCTCTTCTTTTTTTTTTTGAAAAAAAAGTATTAACATTTCAGATTGAATACTATTTCTCATCTTTAAGTTTGTTTCCCAACACCAACAGAGCAATGTAGGGTGCCTAACAGAAACCATGAAAACTAGAATGAGATGTTAGCCGTATGATCCCAAGACAAAAGTTTAGATTCAGCTGTGCAAATTCTGATTTTTCACTAATTCTATGCCATGTCAGATTGAAAGGAAAATAATTCATTGCCATGACAGACTAATTTAGAGGATTCCAACCACCAGTACCGGATTGACTAAAAGACTACAACATCTAGTTTCAATCAAAAGCTAGAAATCATACATAAGGTCTAACAAAAGATACATTCAAGACCAATGATCATTATCATTATTAAATTGAACCAAGTATTTTACAAGATTAACCATAAAAGTAAACAGATGCTCCAATTTCAAGTTGACAAGGCACGTTAACCTAACAAACTTCTAAGAATTGTATGAATTCATGCCCTTAGCCAAAACCTCAAAAAAGTTCATATTTTACCAAGTTTGTAACGTTTGAAGAAAAAAAATGGCCAGACAAATAGCTATTGACGATTGGGAATGATTGTTGCAAAATTTTGTCAATGAAGCGCATGCTGAATACACTTTTCTTCATTAAACATTTTTACAAGACTGCAATGTCTTTTTACCATAGAGCCTTGAAAAATGTGCAAGGAAAATAGATAAAAAATGCTCAGCAAATTATCGCTAATTGCACCACATGGAAAGGGCCACTAGATGCATTTTGTACATTATTTAACAATTATGTCATCTGCAACGTCTGACTATGAAATTTTAGTCCTTATATTCAATATAGTAAAATAAAAATATTTAAAAATTTCAGCATATTGTTGGCTGTGTTTAATGCCAAAAAATTAATATTTGTTTAAGTAGCCAAAGCAAAACAAACCTTCAACATCCATAGTAATTCTCCCTAAGCAATTAAATGTATGAGCATCCATTGTAAGTTCCTCCCTAAGAAATTTATATATAAGTGTGAAGCATTTTGTATTTACTTCAGTATATCTTTTTCTTTTTCTTTTTTGAACAAATATTTACTTCAGTGTTTCATTAACACTTCAAAGAGATAACAAGTTCAAAGGTCATTACAATCACAAATCATAACAGTTCAGTCAGAAATTAAATTACTCAAAACACTTTAAAAACAATCAATTTTTATGTGAACAACTTAAAACTGAGATTTTCTTGCCAAATAGAGTACAAGTTTCTCAAGTGTCACTATCCCTGTGATTATCCAGCTTCATCATTTGGATAATCAGCTTGTAGTCACTACATTCCAACACTGCTTTCATCTTAATCCAGACACAATCCATTCATCATCCATATCTTCACTAGTTCCATAGCAATCAATCCTAATCTCGAAATGGCCTAAGCTTTCGCACATTTAAATCATTCAGCAGGTCATGAATAACTACTGAATTCATCAATCAAATTCAATATTCAAACATATAAATTGATTTAACCTATAATATTTTAAATGAAACATGTCATGATTTGTGGCAACATGAAAATAAAAATTACAAATAAAATAGTTCATACTTCAGGTATCTCAAAGGAGCTTTAACCATGGTTCATCCTTCAAATAATCCTCCAACACTAAGACTACACGAGCTACTGTACCATCAAAAGATGTAAATTACTGATTTCACCTTTGGTTTGGAACTATTACTGATCATTGTGACAAACTGGACAAACAGAAATCAACAGGCTTGTTAAACATGTAAGCTAACTGTACTTGCAAGCTGCCATAGATGGCCCTTTATTCAATGAAAAAAAAAAAAAAAAAACATATGTCTACATATACTTGTACAGATATATCAGCAAGAAAATTGGAAAAATCATGGATCAATCAATCAAAACAACGAGATAAAGAAAAAATTGAGAATTGAAATAGAACTGAATACTGGAACAATTTTTTCAGCAAAACAAACCTCGCTTTTGCTTCGAATCAGAAGACGACTTCTTCGTAGTGAACCACTGAGTATCCAACTTCTCGATCTCTAATCTTCATCAAACCTCAACTCGCTCTACTATTACTCCATCTTCTATCAATTTGTAATACACTGAAAAATCCCCAAATTCATCTACTTAAAATCAACAGTGACTCAATGCTTAACACACATTTTGAGATTAGAGATTTGAAGTAAAATTGCAAGCCAAAGTGACATGAGATTGCCGGAGTCGAAGAGTTCAAGATCTTAAGGAAGTTGAGGACGACTACTTCGATTCTTGCTCAGATCTTAATAGAATAATTTCAATTTCAAAGATTGATATTCACATATACAAAGTATATAGAGTTACATATACATGTGTGTTTACCTGAGAAGGAGGAAGGATATTAGCATAGCAGAGGTGCTGATCTGAGAGCATTAAGGAGAGAGAGAAAGAGAGAGAGAGAAGAGATTGAGAGATTCATGCCAGTCTGTGAGACCGAGAGAGAGAGAGAGAACGATCAGTGTTTGTGAAGGGACTAGGGCAAATGTAAGGAAGAAGGGAAAATAAATAAAGGAAAATAAGGAATAAATTAACTATTTGCGACTGCTAATATGGTGGTCGCAAATTATATTGTAGTAAAAAGTCATTTTTCTAGTAGTAGGAGAAACTAGATGAGACAAATTAACAAACTTTCTAATAGGTAGTTCTAAATCATGTGTACACTGCGTGTCTCATTAGTTTCAAAAATTAGGGAAAACATTAATTCTGAAAATTAGGGAAAACAAAGATTAAAAAAAATAGAGAAATCGAGTAAGAGAGATACAGAAAGGACCCATACCTGAAAATAAACAATTAGAGAAATCGAATAATAAGAAGAGCTAATGGAAGAGAACATGTGACACTGAAGAAGAAGGGCGGACGGGCTTGGAGATGCAACGTTGGCATCGACACTGAAGAAGGAGAACGAGCGACGTCGGCGGTGGTAATAGAGGAGAACACGCTGAAGGGGGACAAGGGGTGCTAAACGAAGAGACCCAACTTGTGTTTTGTTTTGACACAGAGAGAGAGAGAGAGAGAGAGAGAGAGAGAGAGATGAGAAAAAAATAAACCAAAAAAAAAAAAAGGAAAAAAAAAAGGGAAAAAAATTTGTAGTCTATTTTTCATTACCGCTCAATATATCAAAGATTTTCCTCCAAAATTAGGGATAAAATATTTTTCTCATTAAAAAAATTTAAAATATTTAAAATCAAGTTTCTCAACAAAAAAAAAAATTAGTGACGAAAATATATTCCTCACTAATAATTTTATAATTTGTGACGATTTTTTTTCTCACCAAAAGTTTCAAAATTTTGGCACCATAAAAAAAAATTAGTGGGAAAAATTTAGGTGACGAAACTTAATTTTTTTCTCACCTAAAAGTAAGTATTTATTGACGGAAATAAATTTCGTCACCTATTATTTTTATTTTTTTATTATACGTGACAAAATTTATAATTCCTCGTGAATTATTCTTATTTAGTAACGAAATTTGTTTTCTTCACTAATTTTCGTCACCATACCAAAACAGAGAATAAGAGAAAGAGACACCATAAAAAGAGCAAAGAGAAATCACGTACCAAATCACCGAGCGAAGAAGATGTGGCGGTTACCAGCAAGGCTACTAGTGGCGGCGACGATCGGTAAGGCTAATAGAGGCGACGACGATGGCGATCGGCGTGGTGGAGGAGCAAGAGGTAAGACAAATTAATACCCTATTTTGAGAGAGAGAGAGAGAGAGGGAGAGAGAGATGATGAATAGAAAAAGGGTAAAAAAATTAATACCCTATTTTTTTTTATTGCCGCTTAATATATCAAAAATTTCCCACCAAAATTGGTGACAATATTATTTCCTCACCAAAGGATATCAAAATATTAAAACGTTTTGGTGACGAAAATATATTCCTCACAAATAATTTTATAATTAGTGACAAATTTTTTTCTCACCAAAAGTCCCAAAATTTTGGTGCCACCCAAAAAAATTAGCGGAAAATTTTTTGGTGACGAAACTTAACTTTTCCTCACTTAAAATGAAGTATTTATTAACAAAAATAAATTTTGTCACCTATCATTTTTATTTTTTTATTATATGTGACAAAATTTATAAATTCCTCACGAATTATTTTTATTTAGTGACGAATTTTATTTTCTTCACTAGTTTTGGTCACCATAGGTTACTTTCGTCACCATAGGTTCTTTTTTTATTTTTTATTTTTTTATAAATGACAAAAAAAGACTATATCACATAGTCCATATCACCAAACATTTGCTACTATAGTCTTTTCCCTTTTCGACTCACCTGTAATTTGCAACAGAAAGTAAACACTTTAGTTGCATGATGCAAAAAGAAAAACTTGACTTTGAAGTTTGGACAATAATATGTTGCTTCTCAATGATCAATTTGCATGCTAAGAGAACCAAGAACAGGTTTTAACATTAGCATCCACGACTCTATCCTACCTGCAAATGAAACTAAATATCCAGAACAAATAGCTACATTATGTGAAATTGAGAGAGAAAGAGAAAACAAAATGACAGGGGAAAAAAAATCAATCTAACAAAAGTAACATAGAAACATAATTTCTTTTCCTAACAAAGCTTTGCCAATAATTAGTTCATTAAAATAAACTCGAATGCCCATACCACCTAGAAAAAAATCACACCTAAAAAAAAATTACAAAAATAAAAAATATATATAAACCAAATCATAATCTAAAATTACAAAATAACATCTGGAAAAAAATATAAAAATTAAAAAATAAATCTAAAATCATAATTAACTATTTATTATCCATCCCAACAACACTTCAAATATATATAAACATTTATGGCCAATCAAACCAAAATGGAATACATAAACCAAACCAAAACCAAAGTAAAACTTTGTTTTACCTTGCTTCCAACCTGTTGAATATTAAGAAATACTGAAGGATCAAATGACACTAAAGTATCTGTTGGGTGCACTTACTGTTTATGCTGAAGAATTAGTCAACTCAAAGACTACAACAGAGTTGGAATCTAGGAATATGTTCTCAAAAAGTGTATAGACCTGCTAATATCTCTTCCACTTCTCTTTATTTGTTTTTTCTTTTTTTTTTGGTTGTTGAATACTATAAAGAATATTGGATGTCTATTGGCACTTCTTGCAGGACCCTTTTCTGGTAATCTCGAAAAGTGAATAGTTTATGTTTGTTTCTTTTTCCCTTTTCTTCAATTGTTTTTGAATTTTTTGGATGGGCTTTTAAGTGATGATTCTGAACATTATTTTTTGCTGGTGCATTTAAGATTGCAAAGTTAAATACAGTTTGCTCAGAATTACAAAGTTAATTACAGTTTTTTATCAACTCAAATTAACATTCCTTTATGAATTAGGGGGGAAAAATCTAAATCAACAACCAAGTGTGTGCGCTATTTTGACAACCGAGAAATAGCAACTTCGAGCAAAACAGTGTTCGATCATTATGGAAGGTCTCTCATAGGCAAACTATCAAACATGTTGTGGCCATGGCAATATAAGCCAACATATCAAGACTTTTTTTCACCCTCATTGCCACTCTGCTTCTCATATCTAACTAATGTACTTGAAAAAATATAAAAAGAAGTCAGCGAACCCTATACCAACACATCAAATAGCAAAATCATGAAATTGAACAAAGAAAATCAGCGAACTAAATTACTCAAAGGGAGAAAATGAGAGAAGGAGAAATCAAATTAAACCAGTTTGTACACTCAATAATGATCTTCACAACCATATAGATAAACCAGTTAATTGTGGAGGATGATTGTATAGCGATCCCGGGTTTTCCCCTTTATGTACAGTATTCTGGACTTAGGTTCCGTGGTTGAGTGTTGTTGCATTTGTTTCATTTCCGTCCTTTAATTCCTTATAGTTGAGTTATAGGATGTGTTGGGCAGGTTTGTAACAGGTTTGGTGAGTTTTGAAACAAATGGTTACTGTCCAAGTTTTGGTGTCTTCGCTCGAGCGAGGACTTTATCGCTCAAGCGAGCTCTTTGTTTTAGATCATTCGCTCGAATCAGGTTTCCTTTGCTCGAGCTAGAGTCGGTTGATGTGTCTAGTGGCTTGAGCGAGAGGTCCTTTGCTCGAGCATGCGTCTGCGTCTGGGTTTGGACCTGAGAGTTGCAATCCTTGGCTCGAGCGAGCTTTCCTTCGCTCGAGCGAGCGAGGACTATGTTTTGGAGTTCTTCACTCAAGCGAGCTTTTCTTCGCTCAAGCGTGCTTCTGGGTTGCCGACTTGAAGCTTCGAATTGTTGGCTCGAGCGAGGGTTCTTTGTGTCTGGTCGCTCAAACGACCAATCCTTCGCTCGAGCAAGCCTGTGTTATATCAGTAGACAGCAGCGGGATTACACTTCACTTTTTCATCCCTTTTGATTTCAAAACCCTAGATTCAGCTCCCTCTCTCTCTACACTTAACTTCTCTCTAGGGTTTCATCTATTTTTAGTGTGTTGCTACCCTAAGTTCTTTGTAAGAAAGGTAGAGGGTATTGAGGGCTTCCTCTTAATCTGAAAAATAGTGGATTTGGAGCACTTTGGTTTTTCCCTATCTACTCCTTTGAGCTTCTATTTTCAAGGTAGGGATACCCTACTCCATTTTATGAGTTTTGTCTTTAACTTTGGTCATTTTGATTAGTTGGTGATGTTGGGTAATTTTGGGAAAAGTTGGGGTTGTTGTGTAATTTATAAAAAAGGGATTTTCAAATAATAAAACCCATATGTGTGTAAGACATTGAGAAATGGAATTATTGTTGTATTATTGATGAAAATGAACCTTAGGGTTAATATTGTAAATTAGGGAAAAATGCCCTAGTTATGTGACAAATTAATTTGAATAATTAATTTGTGGGAATATGAAATTGAGTTGGAGATTATGAGATTGGAGAATTATAAAGTTGAATGGTGGAGTTAGATAATTTAATCACTCACCAGTGAAATTGTTAATATTATATATGTTGATGCATTTATTATCTGTTTAGAAATAACTGCTTTGGACTATCGGTGGAGGATAGTCTTGATTGTTGTAGACACTGCATGTTGATTAGAAAAATCGAAACTAATCATATTGAATATGTCATTGAATATGACGGTTGAAATAATACATCAAATATGTGTATTGATTGATCCTTGTATATGATAATTGTTTATATACTTGGAATATGTGTATTGTGTGGGAGGAGATAAGGGATGTACTCCATGGTTTGAGGGAAGATAGGGGATGGACTCTCAAACCTGTTTGGGAGGAGATAGGGGATGGACTTTGTAGATACAGCAAATACGTGTATCAGATTGAAGTGATAATACAGCGAACATGTGTATTATTTGAAGTATTAGAAATGTTTTAATATGAGTTGCGATCTCATTTGAATTGTAAAGTATGGAAATGTTATAACCTTAGACATAGTCTCACTGAATGATTGGCCAGATTCTGAGCCATGTTTATGAAATGATTGGGTCAGTAAGAGAAAGTGGAACGTAACATGGACATGATTGTCATGGGACTAT